TAGGAACCCTTGGTACTAGGCTGTTAGCGGGGGAGGTTCTGTTCTATTTCGCGTGGGGGAAAAAACTGTGCGGGGGGGAATTTTCTTCGTTTTTTTATAACTCTTTTATATGATGCTATTTTGGGTTGTCAATAAAACTCTTAGTATATTTTTGACGCTCTATCGAATGGCATTAAAGAAATTTTCGAAAGTTATTGAAAATGTCGAAAACTAGCTTTCGACTCCACGATCCCATGTGGAAACACCGAATAAACCTTCTTTTTGCTATAACTATTTTATAAAACAATATTTTTAGAAGAAATTAAAACTCTTAGTATATTTTTTGGTAAGACTCTAGTTTACCCGCCCCCAGCCCTAACTTTTCAGCCATACGTCCTATTAATGCGCGGAGTATCTCAAAATGTTCCACGTGGTCGAATTACTATAAAAAAATTGTTTTCTTGCGGCAAAAATTGCTAGAAATTTTTTTACAAGATTTTGAAAGTTGAAAAGATTAAGCCGCTGTGCTTCAATGTACCAGGAGCCTAAAACTCAAATATTTTTATTTGCCGCTGGTTTTTTCGACTCAAGCGTACTGTAGGCTTATTCTACAGAACAAGAGCTACATTTTGGTACCATTGACAGCTCTGTACGACCAAAGATAGCCGAGATACGAAAAGTCACTTTGGACCAGCAAAAATTAACTAAAGAAAACCCAGACTTATAATTGCTATAAAAATTTTTCTAACAATTTTGGATGTAAGAAAACAACTTTTTTTATAGTAATTCAACCACGGGGAACATTTTGAGATACTCGGCGCATTAATAGGACGTATGGCTGAAAAGTTACGGCTGGGGGGGGGGGATAAACTAGAGTTTAGCCTATTTTTTGATGCTCTATCGAATGACGGGTTCAAAATATCGAAAAATTGGCGAAAATGCTGAAAACTAGCATTCCGGAACCAGCTTCAATAGTTTTTTTTGTTTTTACTATAACTTTTTTATATTACAATACTTCTGGCTAAAACAAAAACTCTTAGTATATTTTTTGATGCTCTATCGAATGGCGTTGCAAAAATCCCGAGAAAATAGCGAAAAGATGGAAGGTTCCGCGAAGCATATTTCCCCCCCCCGCACAGTTTTTTCCCCCACGCGAAATAGAACAGAACCGCGGGGGATTTCAATTTTCCCAGCCTTATTTAAGAAATAACGTAATATGAACTATTTTTTTTGAAAATCGATTTTTTGGCTCTTATTCCTCGGCTTTTGATCTCAGTCCCGATCTTGGCGCTACCAAAGTTACGACCCTATTGCACCTGCTTTCAGGTCAATACAACAGCTTTCGAGACCCCAATCGACTCGAACTCAAGCGTTTCACCTGGCTCGATCACAAACCCAAAATGCAGCCAGCACCTCGATACTGCAGAGGATTCGGGATACAGCGTAGGTTACGGTATCTGCAAAAATCAAATACCTTTAGGGAACGCTGCTATGGAGCCCGGCTTCTCGAAGTCTGCTCTTTTCCGCAGCTTTCTATGGTGCACTGGTGACGACGCTGGTCTCTGGCTATTTGGCTGATCATTTTCGGCCCAAGCTGTTATTATTTGGTTTGTCAATCTCTCTCTCACTCTCTCATTCTCTCTCTCGCTCTCTCTCTCTCTCTCTCTCCGCTCTCTCATGCTCTTTTTTCAGCAGCCGCCTGCGATTTTGCCTTCATCACCCTCCTCGGCCCAACCTTGGCCAATGCTTCATACTGGGGCTTCTACGCATCGAGAGTGATCTTGGGACTTGGAGACGTACGTAATTTACCTATACACCTTTCATGCAAAGAAATAGGGCTTCCTGATCCCCTGCATCAATTCGGTCATCTCCAGATGGTTCCCGCAAAGTGAGAGATCGATGGCCGGAGCGATATACACGCTGGGGAATCAGGTAAAATAGGACAGACATATTACTTTGCATATAGAAAATTCAGAGTGATTTTGCTGTCTTTAGATGTCCGCCGGACTTACCTCCATCATAGCTGCCTGGCTTTGCACATCATTCCTCGGGTGGCCGTCGATTTTCTACATCCTTGGTGGGCCTGGGACCCTCTAATTTTCCTGGACTAAAAACTCCAGGCTCCAAACTACAAAATACATTCTTATCTTAGGCGTTCTTGGCCTCTGCTGGGCCGTCGTTTGGCTCATTTTCTCGGCCAACCGCCCGGCTGAATGCCGTTGGGTTTCTGAAGACGAACAACTCTTCCTCGCCAAAAATCTCGGAAAGCAGAAGCGACCCCTACCTCTGGTCAGACATTCCCCGGCCCCTTTAAAAGTCTCTCCTACCTTCAGCAAGACGCCCCGTGGCGCCAGCTGCTCCTTGGAAAAACGACACTGTCCATCTACGGCGTCCAGTTCGCGTTCAACTTCACGATCTCCCTGCTCCAGTCATTTTTGCCGACATTTCTCAAGGAACACTTGATGTTGCCTATCCATATGGTAAAGCTCACAAATCGTGAAGTCAAAACTTTTTTTTGCAGAATGGCATCTACAACATGATCCCTTTCATGTCGCAGATGATCGCTAAGCTGTTCGTCGTGTCCTTGGCGAATTGGTTGAAAGCGCGCGAGATTACGGGAGCAGATGCGTCGGTGAAGATCTTCCAGGGGCTAGGTGGGCGTAGTGTAACGTAATTGACGGGTTCTTAAGGATCTCTCGGTTGTGGGGTAACGATTTTCCTGCTAGCCGTCGTGCCAAGTTGCGAGCATCCGACGTGGGCCATCCCGATTTTGATATGTCACGGTGGGGGTGTTATCTGGAGCTCTCGCGCTCTCTTTCTCTCTCGTTCTCTCTCTCGCGCTGTATCTCTCCCTCTCTCTAGCTCTCTCTCTCGCACTCACATTCCCTCAGTCTCTCTAGCTCTCTCTCTCGCTTATTCTCCATCTCTCTATAGGCATCTCCTTCTCCTGCTCGATCCCCGGCTTCTTCACGGCCTTGGTGTCCATCGCCCCTCCCTACACCGGAACGATGACGTCACTTGGCCGTACCTGCGCTACCCTAGGAAACATCTCCGGTGCCATGATGATGTCGTTGATTGATAAAATGGTTAGACTGCGAATTTCTTGCGCTCTCGCTCTGTCTCTCTCTCTCTCTCTCTCGCCTTCTCTCCATCTCTCGCTTATCTCTCGCTTCAAATACTCCAATTTCTAGAACTGGCCCAACAAGTGGTTGATCATCTTTTCTTTCGGCGCCGTCTGCCACCTGTTAACGGGCCTCAACTTCGTTTTTCATGGCAAAGGTTGATCCTCATTTTCTAAAAAAAAACATGTTTTAGCTACGGTCCAAGCCTGGGGCGATCCAAGCACGATCAGATCAAAAAGAGCCCCATCAACGCCACCAAACTCTGAGGCCGCCGCCAGCTGATTAAAAACATTTTATTTTGCTCTTAAATTGCTTTTATGAATGGAGCATATTATCATGGTGCTGATGAATAAAGAATTCAATGCAAATTGTTGAATGCAGCTGAAAAAGTTGCTGGTTGATTTTTATCGCCGCATTTAAAGGGATAAGGAAGGTCCAGTAGATCAGGGCTCATCCATAATTGGCAACGAGCCAACCGGAAATGCTAGTGCAATATACGGGGTAGAGAGTGGGCGTTGGCGAGACTGAGCAGGGACGGTTTATGCCAATTTTGCAGTGAAAACCGGCTTTCTGCCTAATTTTTCTGGGCCTGCCTGATCCCTTTAATTGATAAAAATCCTGAATTTGCATAATTAGAGACAGAGACCGCTAAATTCTAATCAATCTGCCATAGACCAAATTTTTGCAGGCAGGGAAATGAGACACCAAAAAACTACACAATGTCTGGCGTACGTCAAAAATTCCACATGTCAGATAGCGTAGTCAAAACAAAAAAAAAGCAACCATCGTCTGGAATTATTACTAGCAATTTAACCATTTTTAAATTTGCATCCTAACTTTCAATTCGGGAATTTGCATATTACTCACTTAATCTTAATTTTGCATACACCACTTGATTCTCGATCTCATTCTTAACGTCGTCCTCCCCACCATGGCCGACCCTCCGGATGACCCGTCCTCCGCAGCACCTCGATCGAAGCAGGATTCTGGCAGCGTCTCCACGGCAGTCTCTCCCACGTCATCCGGACCACCTTCCCCGCCTTCTTCAGAAGACAAGGCCCCTCACGTCGATTTCTTCTCGATCCACTCGCATCGCCTTCGAATATGCCTGCTGCTGATGCTCGGCCTGTACGTGATGGCGTCGATGAGGATCGGGTTGGGATGGCGGTGACTTGCATGGCAGTGCCGGACTTGAATGGTACCCTACTTCCGGTTTAGGTAAACGGTACCGCCTTCGCAACACCCCGTTCGAACACCACCATCTTGGGCCGGCCGAGCCCGAGTCCGTCCTGTGAGGCGCAGACCCATCAGATGATGCCGGGTATGGGGTATGGAACAAGATTTTATTCTGGTTTACTGAATCTTATATAGGGTGACTTATTGTGGGCCCGGCCGAGCAGAGTCTGCTTTTCTCCGGCCGCTTTCTATGGTGCACTCATCACTACCGTACCCTCGGGATACTTGGCTGATCGGTTTGGGCCGAAGTTGTTGCTTTTCGTAGGTTTTTGTTCGGTGAAATTGTTCCTATTGGGTCGCGCGCGACCTGACCCGCCCCGCGACACGCAACGCGGCAAGTAGTGCGACACCCGACGCACAAGCGACGCGAGAAGCGACGGGCAAAGCAACGCCACACACCACTGGGCCGCCGCCTGAATCCCGTAATCAATTACGCCAAACAAACAGGAATGCGCGTTGCGTGTCGCGGCCGCCGGCGTGGCAAGTTCCATAGATCCATAACCAAAAAACCTTAACTTTAGCTGATTGGTCCCCTAAACCCATTTTAGTCACCGCCTGCACCCTCACCATCACAACGATGATCGGTCCCCTCTTGGCGAACCTTTCCTATTGGTCCTTTTTCACCTCACGTGTCGTTTTGGGACTTGGTGACGTAAGCTACCTCACTGCTACCTTTGATTTCCCACCACCAGGGCTTCATCATCCCGTGCATCAACACCGTCATCACGCGTTGGTTTCCCAGCAAAGAACGATCCACTGCGGCTGCGATTTACACGCTCGGGAACCAGGTTTGAATTTGGGCATCCTGAGGTATCTACGCTTGGCTACGGTTTACTTTATTTCCCCACCCCCGCCCCCAGCCGGAAGTTTTTGGCTATAACTTTTTTATTTTACATTATTGTAGGCTCAAATTAAAACTCTTAGTATATTTTTCGACGCTCTATCGAATGGCGTTGCAAAAATCCCGACAAAATAAGCGAAAATACCGACAACTTTGAGACCGTTCGGCTGGGGGAGGGGGGTAAAGTAAACTCTTACCCTACGCTTTCCTAGTTGACCTCTGGCCTGACAGCAATCATCGCCGCGTGGCTTTGCACTTCGATTTTTGAATGGCCGTCGATATTCTACTTGTCTGGTGGGTAGAAGACGCCAGTTCCGGAATTCTAAGCTACCGTGTGTCCTCAAAGAACCTGGTTTACTAGGTTTCACCGGAATCGCTTGGGCCGTCGTGTGGATGATTTTCTCGACGGATCGGCCAGCGGATTGTCGTTGGGTTTCTGAGGATGAGAAGCTGTACTTGGCGGATAGTATGGGCAGGCCGAAGAAGCCATTTCCGTTGGTGGGCATTTGGCTTCGGCGGCTTAGGTTAGTGTTGGCTCAGGTTTAGCTTAGGCTTAGTCTTCGTTTAGACTTCACTTACGCTGGACTTAAGCTTAATTTCGGCTTAGGATGGCTTAGTCTTTGGAGCAGAAGGAAGTTATAGGTTTTATGAGAGTTTTCCAGAGAGAAACGCCCTGGAAAAAACTCCTTCTGAGCAAAACCACCATCGCCGTCTACGGCATCCAGTTCGCGACCAACTTCACGATGTCCATCCTCCAGTCCTTCCTCCCCACCTACTTCAAGGAGCATCTCATGCTCCCCATTCACATGGTAACCTTGAATTTCCAGTTCCTTTGAAAGGCTATGTTCTTTCGAACGGCGTCTACAACATGATCCCGTACATGGTGCAAATGTTCGGGAAACTGGCCATCGTCTGGTTGGCCAACGTGCTGAAGTCGCACAACATAACGACGGCCGACTCGTCGGTGAAGATCTTTCAGGGGATGAGTAAGTTTTGCCGCGTTAGCGAAAATGTGATACTTTAGGCTCGATCGGATGTGGGGTTACGATCTTCCTCCTTGCCGTCCTGCCAGATTGTGAACATCCAGAGTGGTCGATTCCCATTTTAATCGTACCAGTATGAAATCCTGAAGCTCACGATCGAGATTAGCCTTCAGGCCTCGCCTTCTCCTGCATCATCCCCGGCTTCTTCACGTCGCTGCTGCTCATCGCTCCGCCGTACACCGGCACGATGACGTCGGTCGGCCGCAGCTTTTCAATGGTCGCCAACATTTCCGGGGCCATGCTGATGTCGTTGATTGATAAGATGGTAGCATAAGGCTTGTATAACTCACCGGATAGTTGGGGCTGGAAGAACAAGTGGCTGATCATCTTCTCGCTCGACGCCTTCTCCCAGCTCACCAGCGGCGTGTTTTTCATCTTTTATGGGAAAGGTCAGACTTTGGTTACAAGCTTGGGTTTGGATTTAAGCTTAAGGGTAGGCTAGGCTTAGGCTTAGGTTTGGCTTAGGCTTGGCTTAGGTTTGGCTTAGGCTTGGCTTAGGTTTGGCTTAGGCTTGGCTTAGGTTTGGCTTAGGCTTGGCTTAGGTTTGGCTTAGGCTTGGCTTAGGTTTGGCTTAGGCTTGGTTTAGGCTTGGCTAAGGCTTGGCGCAGGCCTAGCTTAAGCCTGGCTTAGGCTTGGCTTGGCTTGGCTTATGCTTGGCTTAGGCTTAGGTTTAGGCTTAGGTTTAGGCTTAGGCTTAGGGTTATGCTTAGGCTTCGCTTAGGCTTGTTTTAGACCATAGACAGGCTAACAAAAATACAACCAATTTCAGCAACCATACAAGAATGGGCGATCCCCGCCACAACCACCATCCCAACCCTCAACACCCCAGCCACCTCCGAGGCGGCCATCGACTTGAATTAACTGCCAATTAATCCCTATCGTTGATCGTGTGCGATTTTGTTAGATAACGAATGAAGTAAACGCCGTGGTGGCTTCTGAATAAACACGTTTACGTATATATGATATTTCGAGTATTTCGGTGCCAAAATCTGTTCAGATACACTTTTTGCAGAGCGTTTTTTAGCGTTTCACAGTCCCGAGTCTAGACAGAAAGTTTTTGCATTGCAAGGTGCTTGTTCACCGACCATCACACGCTGACAAAAAGTGCATTCTAGAGAACAGGGCAACGGGTAAATTGCATCAAAATTCAATCGGATGTACGGCACTGGAACTGGAAAACAAAAGAACCCGGGACTGCTTATGCGAATTGGACCCGAGCCTTCGCCACACCATACAACAAGTCGGTAGAGGGAGCTTGAAGATTACACCGGAATTTGGAAATTCTAAGTATTTGAATATTTTCTATAACATTAAAAATGGATACCTCAACCTTGTTTTCCTGTTCTTTATCTTCAATGCTGAGGGTAAGGGATACGGAGAGCGGTTACTTAAAGGATCATGAGTCTGTTGCGGATCCTGATAAACATATTTCTTTTTCCCTCAAATTTTTTTAAATCTGAATAACCCTGTAAACTGCATCATTTTTAAGCAAAACCCAGCTTTTTGCCGAGTTCAAAACAAACCCTGCCCAGACGCTTGAATAAATATTTTGAAAGTTTCGTGCATTTTTGGCATGGAATGGAAAGTCGTGGCGAAAAAGCTATTTCCGTTCAACGGTTGATTTCACCTGCTAAAACACTCATGACAAATATTTTTTGGGGTTATTGTGGAGCTCTAATTATTCTATTTTCCGGCAATATTACGATTTTTTTTGTTGGTTTCTACAGCTCTCCAAACTCCGCAAATCAAAAATGTTTTCTATGTATGCAGGCACAGGAAAAATTGCACTTTAAAGAGGGCCCGGCGTAGATAGTTGCATCACATATCAACGCACCATGGCGGGAGTCGCGACTCCGAACAACACGAAAACCCGGGGGCGGCTTATGCAAAATGGACCCGAGCCGCCCGCCCAGGCATATTATGTAACAGACGTTAAAGGCTAACCGCGCGGAAGAATATCCCAAATTTTTAGTGTACATTAACCCTAAAATTTGTTACTTGTAAGCTGTTCTACATATCTATAGAACTCTATTAATCGATCAGAACCATGGAAAAATCGCCGTTATTCTCGCTGAAATCTCATCGGCTACGGATTTGCCTCCTCCTAATGGCCGGCCTTTACGTGACGGTATCGATGAGGTTAAATTTGAGCATGGGCGTTACTTGTATGGTGAGTTGATGCTAACTTTGCGCCAAAATATCACCGCTTTCCGGTTAATTCGACTGCCTATACGAATAATATCCGCTCTTCGAATATCTCGTATCAAGGAGCGGAAGAAAACTGCTTGCTTGACTTTGATGAAGATCCCTCAACAAATGATGGTGGATACGGGGCAGGCTTTTGCAATTGGCCTTATGTCATTTTTTGACCTATTTAAGGGCACCTTACTTTGGACCCCATCGATGCAAGCCCTGCTCTTCTCGGCAACGTTTTATGGTGGTCTGGTGACGATAGCGATTTCGGGATATTTTGCGGATAAATTTGGACCAAAAGCAATTCTATTAGGTTCGTTTAAAACAGAAATGCGATAAAACTTGCGTGTTTAGTTGCAACTGTTGATTTTTCCATATTCACCCTACTCGCGCCGATGCTAGCCGAAAATTCCTACTGGGCATATTTCGGGTCGAGGCTGTTAATGGGATTGGGAGAGGCTGGTTTTTATAGTTTTGGCTCACTTATAATCTCATTTTGCTAAAGGTTTTTCCTTTCTTAGGAGAATCCTGTGAACAGCCAACTGTGTCTTTTTTAAATTCAATCTTTTTAATTCAAAGTCACAATCTTCACTTAAAGCGCACGTTCAAGGAGGGGCCGTGTACTCGTCCCAACGTCTACACCCTATGGACGTAGGGACCGCGCGCACTGCCTGCCCGTGCCGTGGCAGGCAATTCCCCTCCTTTCCAGGGTGAGGCGCCCCTCGCCCCTCGCCTAGGTTGTAGCTGTTGCTGACTGGTATCCATCCGCGTCTCCCGAGCGGGGGGCCCGGGTTCGACCCCCGGCCGCGGCAAAAATCTTTTCTTTGTTGCCCAAAAACGTCCCTGAACGTGCCCTTTAAGTTATGACGTTTTTAGGGCTTCGTCTTTCCATGCCTGAACTCCATGGCCGCCAAATGGTTTCCTCCTAGTGAAAAATCGACAGTTGGAGCGCTTTATACAAGTGGGAATCAAGTTAGTGATACCTTCATCAAACTATAAAATATGATAAAATTAATAAAGCACATTCGGTAAATCGGTAAAACAAAAACCTTTTGTCTAGCTGGCCGCCGGGTTGACCTCTTTCATCGCCGCTAGCCTGTGTTCATCGCCATTCGGGTGGCCTTCGATTTTCTACATATTCGGTACGATCTCATTCATTTTTAGTCCGCCAAATATCATTCGATAACTTACCTTAAACCCCGGAAATTCAGGCGGACTCGGTCTGATCTGGGCGCTAGCATGGCAAATCTTTGCCACAAATTTTCCAAGTGAAAACAAGTGGACGTCAGCCGAGGAATTAATGTACATCGAGAAGAATCTAGCGGCCAAGCATCACTCTCAAACTTTTGTGAGTATTATTACAAATTAGAAATTAAACGAGCTTTAGAAGGACAACAAAGTCCCGTGGAAGCAGCTGCTAATTAGCCGATCATCCTTGGCCATCTATACAAGCCAGTTCAGCTACAATTTTTCGGCAGCAATTATGCAAGCATTTTTGCCGACCTATTTCAAAGAAGTTCTGTATATTCCGATTCGTATGGTAAGTATTGCAAGGGTATTACCGTTTTACTTAGATTTTCGACCGTTTTAAAGGTTTATTTGTATCGTTAAAGCTATGTAAAATTTTTAGAATGGACTTTTCACAATGGTCCCCTTCATCTCGCAATTGATATCGAAAAATATCTTTGGCTTGTTGTCGGACTATATGAAACGGCATCAAATTTTGAAGCCAGATGCTTCGGTCATGATTTTTCAAGGGATTGGTGAGTATGATCGGGTATTTAAGGTAATTGACAAAAATTCCAGGTGCCGTCGGTTCCGCTTTGTCACTATTTGCTTTGGCTACGCTGCCATCCTGTCGACACCCCTATATCGCGCTACCAATCTTGATGATATATGGTAGGTCACTCTATAGCTTGGAGTCCAGAAACTAGGAGGTCTTGGGTATGCAATTTGTAGCTAAGGAGTAGAATAAGCCAATTCACTTCCGCTTAGGTATCTCATTCTCCGCCGGGATCTGTGGCTTTTTCACATCACTAATATCGATTGCCCCGCCATATTCTGGCACGATGACCTCAATATCGATGACCTACGCTACGGTGGCCAATTTTAGCGGTCCACTGCTACTGTCGCTAATTGATGTTATGGTAGTTTACAGCCCCAAATTTCGATAAGCAACGAAACTTTGCTCAGGCATGGCCTCACAAATGGTTGATCACGTTCAGCTTCGCCGGGTTGCTAAATATCTTCTCCGGGATTTTCTTCATCTTCAATGGCGAGGGTAGGTTTTGAAAAACTGAGTGAGTTTGGGTAGAAAATCGTAAGGTGACCGCGTCGTATTTTGAAAGCGAGAATCGAGAAAAAAAAAATTTTATTTCAGGCACGGTTCAACCCTGGGCGGAATCGATTGAAAAATCTCGAGAGCGAACTGTCAGTGTAACTGAATAAAGTGTTTTGATCGCACAAGGAAATGTCGGCATCTTATGAACGTAGAAATCCTCATTAACCTCGCCCAGGTGCAACAGCGTAGAGCAGGGGTGTTCATCGCGTACCCGGGCCAAAACTTTCGAAGCCTCTATCTCGGCGGGCAAAGCACCTAGCGGGATGAAATTTTGTGGAGTTGTAGAGTAAAGGGAGAGGAACGTCCTCACAAAATTTGAAAGTCGTAGCGGCATGTAGAAGCCCGGTGACGTAGGGGGACGCAGGGGGCGGGGGACAGGGCTATCACCCGTCCCCTGCGTCACCCTGCGTCACCGTGCGTCCCTTAGCCGCTACCGCCTTGAAATTTTGCGTGAACGTTCTTCTCCCTTTACTCTACAACTCCACACATTTTCATCCCGCTTGGTACTTTGCCCGCCGAGTTAGAGGCTTCGAAAGTTTTGGCCCGGGGACGCGATGAACAAGCCTGGCGTAGAGGAAGTGCGGGGCGCCGGTTTCAGGACCGCGAAGTCAGGAAAAAAAAACACAAACCTGCTAAGGTGGAGGATGACATTTTGCACCAAATAATCCCGGTAGCATCTGGTACCAAGGAGCACTGCCATGGACGGCATTGTCGTGTGGGCTGACTGACTGCCTGGTCAGCCCTAAGAATTTTGAAACAGAAATCGATGCATTTTCTCGATTTCGGTTCGGAAGCTGAAGCAAACGCGGCAGTTTCTGGCTCGCGCAGACCAAAATGTATGGGATTTGGAGAAAAGTTCTAAGAAGTGGACGAAATCTCCTAGGGCCCATATCTCAGCCATCTAGTGTCCGATTTTAATGACCTCAACATCCATCAATATCTACCCCTCGAGGGCTATCGATTGGTGTTAAAGGTATGGTAGGCAAATGCCTGTATGCGAAGATATCTCACTTGTAAGCTTTCACCTGATGTTTATGCGAAACTTCTGAGGCGTGTATCCTCGCGTACGTCAGTTTTTGGGCGCTTTGAGGGACGTCTGGTGATAGAGCATCCGAAGATCTACCAAACCATGTATCAAACTTTCAAATCCGACGTTCCGGTGGGGTTTTTACAGCGGTTCAAAGATTTTGTGCCATTATTTCCTTTCCAACCTGTTAGAAGGTAGGCTAACCTAGAGAGTGCCCCTTTCAGGTACGTGGCTTACGCAAAAATCTTTGTTGTGCGGAAACCTGGTAACCATCAAAACCCTTATTCAAATCCGTATTCGCTCCTTGCGGGTACGACAATCGATAGCCTTGCATGTCGAGATTTGTCACGTTGTGGTGGGCTAAAAAACCGAGTTTCAAGCTCGAGATCCCTACGTTACCGTCCGAAGAATCCAGACACCGTCCCAATGATATACCTTCGATAGGAAGGCGTAGCTGATAATAATACAAATGATGTTATGGTTGTGTGAGCCGCCTGGGTGCCTACCAGGAGGTTGGTTAGCCCTAAATTGCAGTGATTGACGGCTCAAATTTTGGACATACATTGGGGAAAGCGGATCCGGACCAGTACCATTATTAGCACACCGATATAGGGTAAACCCATGGTAGCAATTGGGATCGTCACCTAATTAGAGTAGAGGTCATTTAATACCAAGATACACTGCGATACTTACCCCGATCAACAACACGTGCAAAAATCTGCGGTGTATCTGCTTCGTCCTGGTGCTCATCATCGAGTGCTGATCATCAAGAATAGCGAAACAATGCCAAACGATCAAACCCGTCTAGGCGATCGTTTTACGACGCCAAACAAAACCGATACCACTGTCACGCCGTAAACAATAACTGCCAGGATGGCCGTCGCCATCAGCATACCGCTAGATACTTCGAGATACGGTGGATACAAAGCACGCCGATCCATGATGTAAAAAGAATTCAAGGAGGCCATATATGCTAGGCCCACGGATCTTCCTAAATCCACGGTTTCGCCCAGCAGGCGGGGTTTACAAACTCTGATAGTCTTCCCGCAAAATTTCCGGAGTCAGGACCGGCCTCCAGTGGTGCTGTCGGGACCCGCACAAAAACCATACCAGTTGGACTCAAGTAGTGGTAGAGGGCAAAACGGATATATCTCCCTTTCGAGAAGCTGGCTTACTGCGCAGGTTTCAG